GTAAATAAATAAAATCTTTAAAAAAAAAAAAAAATTAAAAAAAAAAAAAAAGCCCTCAATTGACTGAGCTACCCAGATGCCTCAAGGTGGTGCAGACTCTTAAGAGTAATTTATGGTTCAGAGGAGAATAAAGAGAAACACATGATTTACCATGGGGTGAGTAGCACAATGTTAGCAAATCCATAGCGCACTAGGAGAACACCAAGGGAACTCAATACAGACTTAGGAGAGGAGAAAGTTAAGACTGGAAGCTGAATGAACAGTCAGGGACCGTTTCAAGAATCCAGGCAAGGACTGGGGTGCCTGGGTACCTTAGTCAGTTAAGACCATCAGAGTCTAGATTTCGGCTCAGGTCATAATGTCAGGGTCTTGAGATGGATTGGAGCCTGGTGTCTGACTCTGCACTGAATATGGAACCCGCTTAAGATCCTCTCTCTCAACTCTTAACTACAGGGAACAAACTGAGGCTTGCTGGAGCGGAGACAGGTGGGGGGTGGGGAAACTGGGTAACGGGCATAAAGGAGGGCATGTGAAGTAATAAGGACTGGGTGTTGCATGCAACTGATAAATCACTGGCTTCTACCTCTGAAACTAGTAATATAGTATGTATTAATTAAATTGAATTTTAAATAAAAAATTAAAAAAGATTTTCTTTTTCCTTCCCCCTCTCCCCCGCTGTGCCTATGTGCATGCTGGCTCACTCTCTCAAAACAAAAAAAAACCTTTAAAATAATCCAGTCAGGGACGCCTGAGTGGCTCAGCTGGTTCAGCATCTGCCTTCAGCTCAGGTCATGATCCCAGAGTCCTGGGATGGAGTCCTACATCGGGCTCCTTGCTCAGCAGGGAACCTGCTTCTCGCTCTGCCTGTTCTGCCCGAATTTCTCTGTGCTCTTGCTCTCTCTGACAAAAAAATAAATAAAAAATCTAAAATAATCCAGTCAACAATTAGAAAAGTCAGAACCAATCTTTAGGTCTGGTGATAGGAAAGAAGAGGACACATTCCTAATACTGTAAGAGAGTAAAACAGACAGGATTTGGTGTTTCCCTAATAGGAACAGGGAGTAGGAAGAGTAACGAGTAATTTTTAGATTTTAGTTTTTTGTTTCTGTTTTAAGATTTTATTTATTTAGGGGCACCTGCGTTGCTTAGCCTTAACCATATGCCTTCGACTTAGGTCATGATCCCAGGGTCCTCTGATCAAGTACTGCATCGGGGTCTCTGCTTCTCCCTCTCCTGTTCCCCCTGGTTGTGTGCTCTGTCTCAGTCAAATAAATAAATAAAGTCCTAAAAAAAATCATTTATTTATAAGATTTATTTATTTGAGAGACAGAAACAGAGAGCAAGTGCGCGTGCACGCACAGGTGGAGGCGCAGAGGGAGAGGAACAAGCAGATTCTATGCTGAACACAGAGCCCGACATGAGGGATGACCCACAACCCTGAGATCATGACCTGTGCCGAAATCAAGAGGCTATTGCTCAACTGAGACACCTATGTGCCTTAGTAATTTTTAGGTTTTAAGGAATCGGAAGGTGGTGGTACCTTCTTTGAGACAGAAAACACAAAAGGAAGCATGGATTTATTTTTTTTTTAAGATTTTATTAATTTATTTGACAGAGAGAGAGATGTAATGAGAGAGGGAACACAAGCAGGGGAGTGGGAGAGGGAGATTTATGTGAGGCTCCATCCCAGGACTCTCAGATTGTGAACTGAGCTGAAGGCAGATGCTTAACAACTGAGACACCCTGGTGCCCTGGAAGCATGGGTTTAAAGAAGAGTTCAGCGGAGGGTAAAATGCCAAAAGGACATCTAAATAGAGGTTTTCATGAGACTGTTTAATAAAGAGGGCTGGGGTTCAGAATTAATACAGATTTACAAGTTAATAGCATATTAGAGTGCCTGCAGCCACAGGAGTCAATGAGATCACTTAGGGAGAATTTATAGAATTAGAAAGCTAAAGGAACTCTTTTACTTTTTTTTTTTTTTTTT